GGAGCATTTAAGTCCCAGGAGGGATATTTGTCTCTTATCCAACTGTCTCTTCCTTTTTTGGAAACTTGCTTCCTTCAAGCTTATTGCCTATACCGTAAAGCCCCTTAAGTCCATGGTGTTCCGTTAGCTCTTCCATGTTCTTTCTTGGGAACTAGGTACTACACTGCTTCTGCCCATACTGGGTTGCTATGGAGTTGATGCTGTGTTCAGCTATTGCTTCTTCATCATCTGAGATATAGGGCCTCTACTTGAGGCTCAAGATTTCCCAAGGCTATGCTGTGGTTTTGGCCACAGACCATTGAACTTATCAGGGAGTCTTACCACTCTGAAAGAGTTCTAGTTCAGAAAGGGGGCAGGATATGGTGTCACTTGGGACCCACACTGCCCAGTTACAATTTAGCTCCCTGGCAGTCTCCACTCCACCAGTTTTTGCTACTAACCCCCCAACTCTGCCTCCATTTCTGGAGGGCAGAGGGTGGATGCCTAGATGAGTCAATGGAAGATTGGCTAGGCATGCTTCTCCTTAAGCAGTCACATTTGTTAAAGATTGATAAAGTCTACTTTGAAGCTCAAAAACCAAGAAAATCCTTCTTTGTCATTTTTTTCTATCTGTACAGTATATCATGAAAGCAGAACATATGCTGTTTCTTTAGTGGTAGAGAACGGTAATGGTTACAAAGAAACACAGGTTGGCAAAGCAAACAAACAAGATTCTTGGTTAATGCCTTGAAATTTTCTCCCACTGCAGTTGCGAAGAATGTAGATAGAGTGCTTAGCACATAGTATGTTTGATAATGTGTACCTGTGTTTCATAATCTTGAAAATACCAGCTGGACTTGTGTGAGAAGTGGATAGAAGTAAGGACAGAAGATTGCTAAGGATGCATATTCCCACTTGGTATCTCAGTGATCACTGGATCTGCCCCCAACTTGCTTCTCTTACAGTCTTCCTAGCTCATTAATGGTGACGCTGTCCCTCCAAGTGCTCAGGCTGAGATCCTTGGTGTCCTCCTTTCAGTACTTTCTTTTTCACTACATATCTAATTTGCCAGCACATCCTGTTGGCCCTACCTTTAAAATAGATCTAGATTCTGCCTTTGTTTTTTTTTTTTTGAACCGTATCAACTGCTACCATGCTTATCCAAGCCACATCGTTTCTCCTGGGGTTAGTTGAAATAGCCTACCAAATGTTCTTTGCATTCTTTGAAAAATCAGTTTCCTACTCAACAGTGAGTGTATCCCGTTAAAACTTGTTAGTTCATGTTATTACTTTGTTTGAAATGACTTCTCATCTAACTCAGAGGAAAAGCCAAATCCTCACTCTGTATGGCACGGCCTTCTCCAGCGCCCCACCCCCCTCATCTTGTCCCGTAACTTGTTTAACCTCTTCTCCTAGTGTACCCCTCTTGCTCACTCAGCTTTTCTCAAGTTAACCTCCTTGCTGTGTTTCAGACATACCAACCTTGCTCTGCCTCATGGGCTTTGTTCTTGCTCTTCCTCTAAATAGCTGCTTGGGTCATGGGGTCATATCCTCTTCTCCTTTGGGTCTTTGTTCAAATGTTACCTTCTCAATGAGGCCTTCCTGACAAGCTGTTGGAGATGGATTCCTTTCTCCTATTCCCTCATCATGTTCTGACAAACCCCTGTAGGGTTTGTCACCACCTTTTAAAAAAGATTTACATTTTATTTATTGTCTTTGTCTTTCCATCAGAATGAAAGCTCCATGAAGGCAGTTGTTTTTCACTGTCTTGTCCACTATAAAATTCCCAGTCTTAAGATGAGTGCTTGACACAGTGTAGACCTTCAGTAAATATTTGCTGAATGCCAGACTACATGGATTTATCTCAACAAGCAGAACTAGACAAGCTTTTTGAGCAGGGTTCACATTCATACTCATGTTTTAGGAGATTTGCTATCAGTGTCCAGGTTGAATGGGAAGAATGAGAAAGTAGAGGTTTGGAGATTAGTTAAGAGGCTGTACAAGAAAAGGTGAAGTTCTAAATTGAGTCGGTAATGATGGGACTCGGTGAGGGGGTTGTTGGATGTGTGAGACACTCGGAGGAAGAATCCCTGCTAACCGGGGGTGTCAGGAGTAGAGGATATTGGAGTGGAGGTAGGGAAAGATGCAAAGTGAGTTTTAATTCTACATTTCTTTGAATGTAGAATTCAAAGAATGTGGTAAAAATGACATTGACAGTAATGGAGATAGGAGAATTTAGGAAGGAAAGGTGGTTGAGAGGGAAAAAGGAAGATGACTTTGTTTTGGTTTTAAGTTTTTAAAAAAATTTTGGAAAATGTACATAACATAAAACTTACCATTTTATCCTTTTTCTATGTACAGTTCAGTGGCAGTATATGTATTCACATTGCTGTGCAAGCATCATGATCCACCGTCTATCCCTAGAACATTCGTAGCTTTCTGGACTGAAACTCTGTACCCGTGAAACAATAACTCCTCATTTCCCTCTCCCCCCCAGCCCCTGGCAACCACCATTCTACTTTCTCTCTATGAATTTGCCTATTCTATGTACCTTGTATGAGTGGAATCATACAGTATTTGTCCTTATGTGTGTGTCTTATTTTACTTAGCATAATATCCTCAAAGTTCATCCATGTTGTAGCATGTGTCAGAATTTCATTACTTTTTTAAGCTGAATATTCCATTGTATGTACTGTATCAACCACATTTATTCATCTGTTCGTCCATTGATGGACATCTTGTTTTCACCTTTAGGCTATTGTGGATGCTGCTGCTATGAGCATTGGTGTACAAATATCTGTTCAAGCTCCTGCTTTTACTTCTTTTGGGTAGATAGCCAGAAGTGGAGTTGCTAGGTCATGTAGTAATTCTGTGTTTCATATTTTGAGGAATTGCTATACTGACTTTGATTTTAGATGAATTGTGTTTTAGGTGGAAAGTCTAGTACAGTTAGGATGGGAGCATGAGTGAGAGCAACTGTAGCCAGAGATTGCACTTCAAGGAAGCTGACAAATGTGATGGTTGAAGAGGGGAGAGTGAATTCATTTGGAGAGGGAGAAAGAAAAGAGTTGAACCAAGGGCTGAGTTGTAGGAGGGAGCAGGAGCTAGGGGAGCCAGTCAATGAGATAGAAAAGGAGCTATCATTAGGAATAGAACCCTGAATGTTGATACACACTTAGCTCAAACTCATCCATATTCATTGAGCACTCTTAGGAAGAACTTCCTTTCAGATGAATAAGCTTCTATTTAAGTATGACATTACTTTCAAGGATTTGGGTGTTGTAGGTCACAGATCACTACCGAGCGTTGAATTTCTGAGACACAGATACTTTTCAAAAGGTCCTAGGAACACTAAAAAAGCAGAGAATTTTTATATTCCTTATTTGGTTATTCTCCATTTCCTGTTTTGCATTGGTAATTTCGCAGTTCCTTTTTTTCCCCCTCAACCTTTCATTGAAGTGTGACTTACATTAAGAAAAGTGTACAAACCACATGTGGACAACTGGATGAATTCTCAGATATTTTGTAATATGTATCCGAGTAACCAACCCCCAGATCAAGAAATAGAAATCCACCCCGGTGGATTCCCTTCCTGCCCTCACTTACTCAGTATCTCCATTACCCTAATTTCCAGCATCATAGATTAATTTTCCCTGTTTGGAACCTTATGTAAATAGAATCATGCAATATGTACTATTAATATTTGTGTCTCACTTCTTTTAATTAATACTGTGTTTGTGAAATTCATCCATACTGTTGTGGGTTGTTGTAGTATATATTTCACTATGTGCTTTCATACAATTTATTTATTCATTCTCATGTCAGTAGGCATTTGGGTAGTTTCTGGTTTGGGACTATTATGAACAGTACAGCAGTGGCCGGGCGCGGTGGCTCACGCCTGTAATCCTAGCACTCTGGGAGGCCGAGGTGGGCGGATTGTTTGAGCTCAGGAGTTCGAGACCAGCCTGAGCAAGAGTGAGACCGTGTCTCTACTAAAAATAGAAAGAAATTAATCGGACAACTAAAGATATATAGAAAAAATTAGCCAGGCATGGTGGCGCATGTCTGTAGTCCCAGCTACTCGGGAGGCTGAGGCAGAAGGATTGCTTGAGCCCAGGAGTTTGAGGTTGCTGTGAGCTAGGCTGATGCCACGGCACTCTAGCCTGGGCAACACAGTGAGACTCTGTCTCAAAAAAAAAAAAAAAAAAAAAAAAAATTAAATTCCCAACTACAGCAATGAACATCATCAAACTTTCTTATTAAAATAGGAATTGTGCCTGCTATGTTCACCTCTTTAAAGTTGCCGTTGCTTACTCCATTTAAGTGCCTTTTCTACTAAGTGCCTTCCCACCCTACCTAATTATCTTCGTTGTTAACACAAAATATATTTTATTTCATATTAGTGTTGAAAGCATGAAGTACCACAAGGAATTGGGTTTCTTAAAAAAAAACTGTATCTGCTTGCATTAAAAATTTCCTTTTAAAACGTGTATTTTAATTTTTCTCAGCTATCCAAATTATGTGTCTTAAATGCACATTGAACCTGTCAAAATTCTTCATCTCTTAATGAGGTGAATTGTTCAACCTTGAAACAAATATTTTAATTTTGGCACCATGATGAGTTGGAGAAAAAGAATAGCTCTCATATACTTAATGCAGATTTGTTACCAAACTTATATTACAATTTACATAGCAATGAAAGGAAATTTAGCCAAAAGTGTATTGTGATATTTTATGTAATTTTTCTTTTCAGATGACAGTCTGCTTTGGTATAAAAATTAACATTACTAATTCAACATTGATGAGAAGTTTTTATCCATCAGCTATTTCATAATTAAGTTGCAATTTGCTATGTTTAATAAAGATACATAATATATTTTGTATGTTTGTATGGCTATGTGTCTGTGTGTATATATATTTGACTGTTTGTCTATTTAGCTATCTGTCGACATACTCACTGAAACCTTCTTTACAGAAAGAATAATAGAAGATCACGAACTCTTGATTGAAGTGCTATCTAACTGGGGAATGGAAGAAGAAAATAAGCTATATTTTAGAAAAAATTATGCCAAATATGAATTCTTTAAAAACCCGATGGTAAGTGAAATCCCCATTAATAGTTATGGAAAATAAATGAATCAGTTAAATTTTATGTGAAGAAGAGAGTCACTAGAAATAAAATACAGTCCTATTTGGTAAATTGTAGGTAAAGATTCTGGTCCTTTAAAATTATACTCACATTTCTTATTCTAACAATAATTACTCAACATAATACACAGAAGTTCAGATACTTGATTGAAATAATAATTTTTGGCCATATTGGGAAACTCTGAATTGAGATGAATTTTGGTTATTTAATTTAAAAGTACTAAGAAACCTAGTTTTGGGGAACCATTGCTGCTTTTTTTGTCTTTTAGGAGAAAAAAAACAATTACACATTTGATTTGGGAAATGAATTTTTATAGATCCTCAAGCAGATTTCAATGTATTATAGTTTAATACTTTTCACAATTTAGGAAATTTAAATAAGAGACTTTCTAAGGTAAAAACAGAGTGATGACTATTGGGAGTGTTGGAGCTTAGCCAGAAATTTAAGATTGACATGAATCTTGCTGTTCCAAATTATTTTGTTTTCAGTGCAGTAATTTCTGAGCTAAAGTAGAAATGGGCTAAAGACCAGTGCATTATCTGGTAAATACTATTTTCATTATAGTTCTCTTTAAAAGAAAATAAATGTATGTCACATTCTAATGAAGACTAGGGATGTAGAGAAGTCAGAATAGCCTCTGGGCTCATTATTTTGAATTGTTTTTGTCTCTGCAGCTGTAGCATATTTTTACACTAAGTTTTGGATAATTGGATTGAAATGATCCTTTATGAAAAATATATGATACACACTATTATAGAATATTTTCAAACCCTGAAAGACCTTTTACATTCTCTTTTTATTTTAACCTATTAATAGAAACATAATGGGCTGATCTTTGACAAAGAAAATAAGAATTCTAATAAAAATTAAATAGAATCAGAATGTGAAGGGAAAGTGTTTTCTTGTTATGAATCTTTATTAAAAGCAAGAGTTTAAAAGTTATATTTAAGAAATACAGTTTAGTGCTCATTTTTGGTTTTACTTATTTTTTATTTAAACAAGGCTGGACATTCATTTTGTAGATCTAGAGCAGTGCTTCTCAACTGGGGGGTGATTGGACAATGTCTGGAGACATTTTTGGGTGTCACAACTGGGGGGTGCAGGAAGGCTGCTAGTGAGTAGAGGCTAGACTGATGCTAAACATCCTACAATGCACAAGACAGCCCCCTCCAACACAGAATTATTAGACCAAAATGTTAGTAGAACTGCTGTTGAAAAACTCTGCCCCAGAGGAAATATAGTAGAATCTATTTTCCCAAACTTGTCTGATCACAAAATTTACCTAGGGGAGAGTGGTTATTAAAAACACAGGATCCAGGACCTGCCCAGACCTACTGAATTAGAAACTCCGGGAATGCAGCCTGGGAATTCCTATTTTAACCAACTGCCCTGGGTGAATTTTATGATTAAAAAGCTTGGAAAAACAGTAGCTGGGGCCAGGCACAGTGGCTCATGCCTGAAATCCTGGCGCTTTGGGAGGCTGAGGTGAGGAGTTCAAGATCAGCCTGGGCAACATAGCGAGACCCCATCTCTACTAAAAGAAAATAATTAGCCA